TAATACATACATTAATACATACGAAAAGCAGCGCGAAGAAAATGGAAAAAGGATAATCGAATCTCTCGGGCCAATTTGTTTTCTTGGTCGAAAGGGCGCGGTGCCAATGCATTCGACGCAAATTGTGCCTGAAATCGATTTTCAGCGATCCTTTCGCTGCTTGACCATTTCTGGTCACGCCCTACAGCCGAGTGACCACTCGGTCAAAATCTGTCTCAGTTTCCCGCTGTCTCTTCGTTTTCTTTGGGAACGTATCCCTTCTCCGCCCTCCTTTCTACGGGATATTAGCTATGTTTTTCTTCTAGCTTGCACTGGCCCAGTGTTAAATCTAAAGGCGCGAATATATTATTATATCATTATGTACTTATATGATTTATGACATCTATATATATATTATTTTTATAGATTACATTATATATTCTTATTTAATTCTTATTTAATTGATTAAATTATTTAATAGATATTAATTTGACAACATGAAAGAAATGTCTTATAAGAATGTCTTATAATAAATGCGAAATAAATCTTTTGTATTTACTTGTTATTGAACCATATATTAAAACTGTTTTTCTTTTCGATCTTGTCATTCGCAATGAAATACTGTTTACGGCGTCAGATCTTATAAAAAAAAAACTCTATATCCTCGCGAAATACGTTTTTATGCTTAATTATATGTAATGTAATTCGCCTCAAGGACGGAAATCCCGTTTAAAGTATTTTACCGTCCAGCAGATATATCGCAGGAGATCGGGGATCTTCTCTCGTAACAGCCAGCGCCGAACGCTGGTCCGTTCGTTCAGGTAATTAATGATCGCTAATTACCGGACATCTGGTGCTGGAAGGGATCCTTATTTACGACAGGAAGGTGGACGTCCATCTAGAGAAAGAAACGAAAAAGGAAATCATACGAAATCGCTAACGAGCTCTATTGTGGGGCACGTGCCGCTGTCCGCCTACGTATGTTGAAAAGTGACAGATTCGTTTTTTCCTTCTCCCGATCTCGCCAATTTAAACGGAAGGGGAGAACTCGATCGAAACCACCGTCCGTATTTCGTCCATTCGTTCGTCACCTTGCCTCTATCCGCGGGGAATCGGTTTGGACAACTCGTTCAATCTTCGTCTTTCATATCGAACTTTGCCTGCATAACCGCAGTAACTCGTCTCTAGGAATTTGAAAGTTAAAATTTTGTGAACCACAGTGTGTTCTACATTTTGCTAGTAGATATCGTGACACACACAAATAATTTTTCCATCCTGTAAATTTAACATGGGATTATTTTCTATCCTATTACCACAGTCCCCCAAAAGAAAAAGATCGTTCTCTCGTTCTTTTTTTTGCCCAAGTATCTAGTTAATGCGTTACCTGCTTTTCATCCTCGAGATCTTTTTTTACGGGTCCCTCGCATGTCCATCATCTTTTCGACGGGCAAGAACGGTGGATCCACTGCGGATGGCCGAGTGCTCCGTCTTCGAGAGCTCGCAGACAGGATACGTCGAGACGATCGGCAGCGGTTACAGATCCGCCGAGAGCAATTCGACGTGCGTTAATTGATCATTCGATCAGATCGATCAAGGTGCACTCGTACGTGGGCACCTTTTAAGAACGCCGTGTCATATTCTCACGCGCTGTACGTCGCTTTGATGTCTCACTTGTGTCATTTTTGCGTTTATGTTCCTCTCTCGTGTTCTGTTGACGACAGATCTCATCGCCCTCTTTTAGGGCCATCGTCGAGATCGCCATGAGGAATGTTGTCCGTTCACTTTCGACGCTGTCTAACAAGCGCCCGGCGACGAGTGACATTTTTCTTTCCTTAAATTTGACATAGAATGTGCGGAGAGAAATAGCTATTTTTAAGCAAAAAGAAAATATCGATATTTTTTTCTTTAGTACTGTCAATTTCACGAATGTCAATCAATACAAAGTAAGATTTGCTAATCATTTGATTATCAAATTGGGAACACTAAAAAATAATGCAGTTATTTTCAAATCTCTATTTAATACACTTATAAAAAGGAATCTAAGTTTTTGTACAAATAGAAAGGCTTTTCTTACGAATTAATCGTATTAAGAATTCTACAATCTCATCTTGCATAATTGTATCCATTTTGAAGAGATAGCCTGCGGGTTTGGTTCCGCTAGATTCTGCTATAGTACATTATTGACTTCGTCATGAATTGCTTATGTACATATAAATATGCGTGTAAACATAGTATATACATAATGGTTAATATATGATTAATATTATATATGTACATGTCGTAGGCAAATAATTATTTTTAGGAAAACTGCCTAACAGCAGTTCAGTCAGATAGCATTTGAGTACAAATAAACGTAAGCCATTTGACTAGACAGATAGCATTTGTCTAACAATAAATCAAAGACTAACTATTTATCATATCTACGACACATACATGCATATATAATATGATTGTTCTAAACGTTTGTAAATGAACACTATTTATTTCAATATATTGCATGCTGCGGACAAAGCATGGTATCAGCGACAGCTGCTGGTTGTCATGTGCGTAACGCTATATTAATTTGCGTTCGTCCGGTCGCTTCGACAGTGAAAGAAAGAGGTACGGCCGAGGAACAACTGGACAAAGGACAGACGCGACGCGAGTAATTAGAGCGAAATTACGGAGCAGCGTCTACGCGGGGTAAGGCATTCTCACGGCATCAAAGAGAGACATTTTGCAATAGACGCACAAATACCATATCACGCGACTCCGCACGATCCCTCGCGAGAGAGAGAAAGCGACGACCGCTAACGTTGAAGACACGGTGTGTGATGACAAAACCGAAAATAATGAAGACACCGTCCGTCGGAGGAAAGCGCACGTGAATCGTTCGCATCCGGAAGGGGCTCCGAGGGGAGCGGGCGGAGACTGCCAATGGGGAAACGGAAAGGTGGGCAACAAGTGCGTGTGCCGGTCACGCGCCCGCGTGCAGAACCGGAAAATCGACGTTTATGCACGAGATGACCGGAAGAATGCGGTACGACATCGTGCGTCGCGGTATAGCGACTCATTCTGCTTAATCAATATCCAATCGGCACAGCTGATATACGGTTGAAAGGATCGATGAAACACAGTGAAATCATCTGTCTCTTTTGTTTTAATTTTAAACGTAATTTAACGTAAATCACGCGAGATATCGATTCTGACAAATTTGCAACCATTATTTTATTTGTTATTTTGTTGTATAAGCAGTATTTAATAGTGTTTACTTATATCCCGATTAGTAACATCGAATGAATTCTTATGAAATTTATATCGCTGCGATACAAAAAGAACTTTTATTTATGAAAAGTATTTTTAATCTCTGAACTCGCATAACACAGAGCCATAGAACTTTTCTTCTAATATTCAGACTTTTGTAAAAAAAGTGTCATTATTAACAACGTAGCGAATTTTTTTTTTTACAAACACTGTTCTTTATTTACAATAGTTTACAAAACCATACTGTCATTTGGTACAATATTACAATTATTTGCATATACTGAATTTATCAACTTATAAACTAATGATGAATATCTACTTGCTTAATATGTGTAACGCTTCTTATTTGTAAAAGTCTTTGGCCGATTACATGATAAGTCCTCGAACGTGATTTACTTACTATTGCCCTTTACAAAATTTGTTCTGCTTTAGATCTTTGGCGTTTTTTACTTAAAAATGGTCGAAGTTGAATTATGATCTTGACTAGATACGACAGTACTTACAAATTTACAAGAATTTAAAAGTTTTATGATTTAAGAAACAGCATTGTGATCTTAAATCCAAATGAATTTCCGCTAACTAAAGGAAAAGAAAGCGATTTTTTAATATAATAGCGATGACTAATATAATAATATAACAATACAATGATAATTATTTAATTTTCTTTGATGGAAATAATTGAAAAATTATAAATCTCGATTTTGTTAAAAATACAGAGTTGATGAGTAATATAATATATTAGTTGTCTAATAAATAAACACAAAATATATTTAAAATCACACATACAGATGCAAACGCACAAACATACACACACAATGGATTTCCTTTGCTACTATCGCGCTTAGTCTTTGGATGTTTAGCTGTTTCTTTTTTATCTTAATATTAAAATACATAAAAAGAGTACATAGACATGCATGTTCGTTATTGCATTTGCGATGTACAATACATTCGAGTAAAAAATTCTAGTTAACGCTATTTTTGAAGTCTTAATTTAAATTGAAAATATATTAGAAATTTCAAATTAGAATTAGACTATAAAATATATATATTGGAAAAAATTGTCAGCATATTACATATGTATTAAAGTCATAATTAAATAACTTACTGCCATTAAAATAATTCTTTGTATAATAATAATAGAAATAGTCATTAGCAAAAATGCTTAAGGACATAATGCAAGAAATCTTGTAAGAACATTATTGGACTTTATTGGATATATAATCATTTAGATTAAATTATGATAGAGTATTGAGAAGGCCTTCTGTACCGCTCTTGCGCAGTTCAGTCTTATTACATTTTTACAACAATCACTATATAAATATCTTGTTACGTTAGGAATGTATTGAAATATTATCTGTGCGTTTTGTTATTAATTTTACATCTCATGATCATACTATAAATTGACTAACAATTATTCCCTTTCGCAATTGATTTTAATACATAAGTATCGCAGTTTCGTTAAGTTTTAATAATTGTTTTCGAAACATTCTAAATTTAAGAGTTCAGTGCAACGATGGCCTGATCCATTTATTAGAACTTGAGAAAATTAATTTTGAAGTTAAAATTTAAATATCAAAGTAATTCAAATTCTATTTGGATTAATTTCTTTTAAAGAGGAAAAATTGTGATTTGAGGCCATTGTTGCACCGCAGGATTTACCGAAAATCGGATTATAGGTGATCAGGTGCGTATGCGTCTTAAGTGAAATGGTGCCAGGACATTGAAAGGGTGAATCGTGCGTATGATACTTGCGTTTTTTCGCCCTCGTGAATCCGTATCTATCTCTTGCTGTCGTGTCTCTGTAGAAGATCACACAAGGCGGCTATGTAGCTCTGTGCCATCTGCAGGGTCTCGAACTTGCTGAGTTTGTGGTCGGTCCCGAGGCTCGGCACGACCTCGCGTAGCTTGTCGAAGGCGTCATTCAGGCCGTTCATGCGCCGTCGTTCGCGCGCGTTCGCAGCGAGACGTCGACGCTTCAGCACTGTCGGCGACGGTGGCACGTCGCGGGATCTCCGTCTGCCCTTCCGCGGGCTCACCGGCGGCGTCGTCGGCATCCTCTGAAAAAAATAAAGATTGCAGCTCGATCAGAGACGAATCATTTAACGCATATTTTTCATATTTTTTTATTGAAACTCGATCAGAGACGAATGCATTTAACGCATATTTTTTATTATTATTAGTTATCAAAATAAGATTAAATACATATATGGTTTACATTGTCGGGATTTAACTATTAGCTGTATTTACACAGAATAGTAGCCAGAATAGCAGAATAGTTAGTTTCATTAAATTGCAATTTGAGTCAACTTTTGACGATAATATCGATAATCACCTGCGCCGAGATGATGGGATCCCAACAATTCGTGCGAGGTTCGACGATCGTGAGGATCGGCTTGCTGTTCTCCAGGGGTTGGTATCTCGGTTCCTGGGGAGGCGTCTCGTAGCAATACGACGGCGGCTGATAGTCCAATGAGCTTTCCTCGTACAATGTCGATCGCGGCGACGTGGTCTGGTCTATCGAGAGCGGCGGCTCGTACCTGTAAATACACGAGGATGACGAATCTCGATGAGTAACCTTCTCGACAAGACTCCCGCGGTGAAATTCTTAGCGCGTGCAGCGGAGGATTACCTTTGCGGAGTGACGGGCGTCAGGACGCCGTAAGGTCCTCGATCGTATCCCTCCGGAGTCTTCGTGTATTCCGACACCATGTCCTTGGCGTAGTCGAGCGTCTCGACGTCTCTTCGCGGCGTGAGCTCGCTCTCGTGCGTGCAGTTGTCCCGATACACGATTCTCGTGGCCTCGTAGTTTGGGGAGTTGTACGGCGACGGGTACAGGGGGTCGTAGCTCCTCGCTGAAGTCGGGTACGCGGGTGTTAACATGTCGGATTGCGTGTTCTGGTAGTTACAGTGATGGTTCGACAGCAGGGCCATGATCGGAGAGAAGTTACTCGATCGACTTGGCACAACGAGAATTATAACTCTATGCGTAGCACGTACGGCGCCTCATCGGAGCTGCGTCTCGAGGCGAAGTGTCGCGAGAGTAATCCTCTTTTTGCAAGTCCGAGATTTTTGTATAAGCGAAATTTTCACGACATTACTACGATCTTCGTCAAATCCTGTCGACATCACGCTGAGGAAAGGGATCGAAGCACAAAGTTCGCCGGCATTGATTCACATCCCATTGAGTTTGTCAACGCAGTCAAAAGACAATGGCTTGGAAACGTAATCTTACGGTGCTAATATTTAATGCACACGGTATTAAACGATATCATTGCGTCTAACGTAATATAGGTATATCCGATGCAATATTGAGAGATGGACTTCTTGAGCGTGAAGAATACTGTTCGGCACATCACCTTGTATACGCGAAATCGATCCGCGAACCGAATCCTCGCGCGAACTGTGTCTTCGCCGTTAGTGTCTCAGTTCACTGCGTATCGAACGTCTTCTGCACGCGGGCCGTGCGAGAGAGGAACATCGGGGACCGAACTGTCAGGCGTTCGGTCAGGTCGGACGCCAAGGTGGACACCACAGCCCCGATCCTCGCGGTGTAAAGGCTCGAGTTTGAGTGCGCCTGGCGCGTGCCAGAGCGCCCGTCAGCAGATCAACATATGGTTCCCACCTTGTTTTCTACCTATCCCTATGGGCGATACGTATACCTGGCAGCGGCTTATTCGGACTCCTTCCGTATCTACCCCTTTTCTCTTCAGGTTCCTCGACATCCGCTCCGCAGGCACGCCCGTGCCGCGAGTCCGTCCTACCTCCGCGACCCGCCGAGAAGCGACCGGCGGCCTGAAAGAAAGATGCTCGCGGGTGTTCTTTATGAGGAAAGAGTTCGCCTTCCTATTATTATCAGCGAACGTGCGGCAAAGCGGTAAGAAAGACATTTAAAAAATTGGAAATTTTATTTCTGTATACTCGAAAAATTGATATCGTAATTTGTTTACGCTGATTCGCTGAATGAGCTTGTACGATAACGTTGAAAACTTACGCGGGCAATGAGTCCATTACAATATCGCGGTGATATTTCCGAATTTCGCGGCGCTGATCGGACAACGAACCGATCGCGACGGCGGTGGTGGCGGTACGGAAATTAATTTTCAATTTCCGATTTCCCGTCTTTCTTCCCTGCTTGGCGCTCGGATCGTCACGACGACCGACGGCGGAACGACAGATGCTTTCACAATAGAAACCACTCCACGTGTAATAACTGTATACGCCATATTATATCGTCGCATTTTTGTATAGGTAGCATCAAAAGAACAACGAAGACGTAACGCGACTGGGAGAGGAAACCAAACATTTATGAGCCTCGCGAATGTGGTTTTCCGTCGTCTGTAATCTGAAATACGCAAGTTTAAAATTAGCAGTTTGAAATTGTAGGGTAAAATTGAAATTTTTTTTCTAAACACATTTAAATTATTCACATTTAATTTACTCGCCGCTGCACAAATTTATTCCGGTATACATATATATTAGGATTTTTTTATTATTTTAAGAATACATTGAAGTAATTATGCAAGATAATGTATAAAGTCCGTGCGCTTGTGCATGATTAGTTTCGCAGAAATTATACTTGATTAGGATTCTTTTAAAAATACTGATTATTTTGCATCGCTACTTCTTCTATCAAACTTTATATTATTATCTCATATCGAGTTGAATCGATTTTTTTAAAGTCACTGATATTTTGTCAGATTCTCGTTGCCTAACGATTGAAAAGACAGAATGTGTTGATAAGATCGAATTTATAAATTCCATAAATTGTCAAGATAACATGTATGACTGACATACAGAAGGAAAGTGTGTATAGAGCGTTGCATTTGACAGAAAATACAGACGTGTTTATAAGTCGTATCATTTATAACTTCGATTTTCGATATATTCCATATATAAGATTGAAATTCAATCTTAATAAGGATTGCATTTATAGACTATATCAGTTTTTACGATTTTTGATTGCCTATCATTAAAATAGTATTTCGAGCAATATCCCGTAATATTGATCGACATCGATTTGTGACTGATTTGTGACACTCTATCGAGGAATCGTATACGCCAACAACGAGGAATGATGCGAATCATAAGGGGAAGGGAGGGAAGAGAGAACACAACGGTCGCGTGCTACTACGGACCCCTCCGCCTTAAGACAATTAGCGATATCCATCTCCTGCGGGGT